TCGTTAACAGAAACAGAGTTTTGAAGTTATTGATTCTCTGAGCACCTATGACGCTAAGCTTTTTGCGAGTTGCAAGCGTAAAGACCCCCATTCTACCCATTTTTACGTCTATAAAAATCGTGCAGCAAAAGACCTACAGTATTTTAGCAATTCAAATTATTCAAATAGTTCATTCGCGCCCGGCTTTTGCTGTCAATAAATACTGTATACCCATTTTATAAAATTTATCGCATCAAATTTTAGTAAACAATTCATTCAAAATGTCTGAGACATTCATATCTTTCTGTTTAACACAGGTCATACATTTTCTATTACATAAATATTGCTCTGACGTATTAAGTACTGGAATAAAAATTTTTATGGTCTTTGGCCGAATTCCAGTTTGTTAACTCATGTCTTCCGGCTTCAGTACAAAAGCTTTATTTTTTTTTTTCTTTTAATTTTTGGAGGTAACTAAACACAATGCTAAAAAAATTGACTCACTACTTACCGAACAAAAAGCTTAAAATGTAGAATTAAAGAAATTCAATATTCTTCAAAGCAAAAATAAATGTAAATTTCTTGAGCAATAACAAAAGTTATCGTTCTTTAATTTTATTAATTAAAAAAAAAACTTACGTTTCTTGTAATTATTTTTCACTTCTCCGCCATTAGATTTGTAAGTGTCTATTGATTTTTTTGACTCTTCTACAAGACGGTAACACTCTTGCAATTTCCGCTCCAGTTGTTCTCTGAAAGTAATATCATTCAAATAGTTTTTTAGTTAATAAAAATTCTTCCAAAAGAACAAATAGATAAACTGACAGCTAAAGTTACTAACTGTATTTATAGTGTCAGTTTTAATCAAAAGTTTATAAATTTATACAGCTTAGAGAGGAAAACTATTTGCGAATCGTGTTATAACTGAGTATGGTGCGTAGTATGTCAGCGTCAAAGAGAATTCCTCTGTAACGTTAGTTAATTTTCAGAAATTACAAAATTAAAATTAAACACATTATTACTGCAGTTATCTTTCACTTTAATGTTTCATCAATAAAACAAAATTTTACATGAGCTATTTAGTGCTCATTGCAATTACGCGGGCCATCTAATTCTAACTAACCCCGCTAGCAGTGATATCATTATAGCCCTTGCAAAATATCGCAATGTTCAGCGCAAAAGACATTTCCCTGGTGTATGGCACTGCAAAGCCTTCTCATTTCTCTGTTAAATAATTTGATAAAGTAATAATATAATTGTTTTACTCCTTTAATATTTTTTTTTGTTTTTAAATTAAATTTTGAAGCATTTCAAGCATTTTATTTTTCACTTTAGTCATTTTTTACAACAGTTAAAGATTATTGCCAATTTTTGTTAATAAAAAACTAGCAACCTTGCAGTCACTATGTGACTTCCGTGGCTTGTAAACTATAAATAAATGAAATTTTGCTTGATTAAATAATGACTTTTGTTAAATTGCACTGTACTTTTTTAACTATTGACGTTTTTAAAGATATAAGCTCATCCTGATGTTACACACTCATCAAGAGCTTTCATTTGAGTACCCACATGCATTTTTGATATATTTTTCATAGATACATATATATATATATATATATAATATATATAAATATATGAAAAACTGATGTGGGTACTCAAATGAAAGGTCTTGATGAGTGTAACATCAGGATGAGTTTATATCTTTTAAAATGTCAATAGTTTACAAGACAAAAGGTCTTTTTTTAATTATGTATCTAGAGATAGAACATTTTCGAATGCAGCCTAAATACTTATCATCATAAATTGACTATTGGTGAAAATGATATGAAACCTTTAAAAGGCACAAATTTAAGTCAAGACCTTTCCAACGATACCCAATTTAACTATAAAAACCCATTTTATTATATAAATACAATGACCACAAAATTTCATTTATTCTCTTAATAATATAGATAAATTACGGCTTTTTAAGACTTTATAATTTTTTTTAGCAACTTCAGGTCATCCCAACTTTCGTCTTTTCTATTCTTAAAATTTTGACATTTAATTGCAGTGTTATGAACTTTAATATTTGATCGCAAGCACTCCAAACCGCTTTAAATGCATTGATTATGCACTCGTTCTCTCGATTAGATAATCGATAGTTCCGCATTAATGCTGACGTCTTTCCGTGACTCCTACAGTAATATTAATCATCTAAACAGTACATTCGTGCAGATTTAGGATAATAAAAGTGCAAATGATGTTGAGCTTGAACGTATTTCCATTCGTTTTATCGAAAAATTTATTTATTCCAAATAAATTTATGGCTATTTGATAAAAAACATTCATTATCGCGGTTATTTATTTGGTACCTACTATTGTTTCGGAAAAATAATTTCGTTTATAATTAAATACTTTCTTTATAGAGTTTCATTGTTTTCTTAAATTTACTACTGCATTGTTTGTTCTAATCTGAACGTGCCGTTGACTCCACTCGAGTGAAAAGTAAACAATACGCACATGGGCAATGTACTTAGATTCTGAGACGGTAATCACCTGGATAAACAAGATATGTGAGAAAAAAAATTGGTTTATTTTTTGTACTCGGTTTTTTTGTCAAGATGGCTTTTTCTAATTTGAGAAAATACTAACGAAAGAAGAGAGAAAATTATAAGTATAAAAAATACATTTTTTACGACCTTTAAGACGGTTAATTTGTGCTAGAGAACTAGACGATCGATAAAATCCGGTAAAAATTTTTTATTTTATTTAAAAAGAATTTCTTATAATTTTATTTAAAAAATTTTTTTTTAATTTTATTTTTAAAAAATTTTGTTATGAAAAATTGATTTTGAAAATAAAACAAAGATTTAAATTATTAAAAAACTAGTCATGACTCTAAAAATAAATAAAAAAATATTATACTGTTTTTAAATGCCACAAGAATAAATTATTTGGTGGGTATCTCGTTGGCTGGATCTTGGCTGGAAAATGCAAGTTTCTGGAAATGTAAATAATGTAAGAACAGCTTGACATTATGAAGGAAAATTTTGTTGAATCAAAATGGGATGTCATTTTCAAGGGAATTGTTATTATTTTAATGAAATTCAGACTCATTGTTCTACTGCAGTATTAAAATAAATTTTTTCATGCAGTTTTTTTTTTTGTAACATATCAACTAAACTAACCTTAAGCATACTTGAAAAAATTTAAATCTCACTCCACCTATTAGGTCTCGGTTGTTTTATTTATTACTTTTCCGGTAAGCGTTGCGTGAGTGAAAAGACTTAACTTTAGTCAAAATCTTTAACAGATGTGCGTGTTTATAATCGATCTAGCTCTGCATGTTTACTCGCTATTTAAAAACAAAATGATACGAAAGATAAAAATTTTCGCAGGAGATGCTTTCGATCAGCACGGCATCAACTTCCTAACATTTTAGCCTCATAAAAAAGTAAATAAAAAATATCGAGATTTTCGCGCTCGGGTAAGCGGTTAATTCGATAAATTTTTTTTTTTACTTCAGTAAACTAAGGATCATAAGAATTATTATTACCAAAACCTTCCTCTCAATTTACGTCCTACTATGGAAGCAACTATGAGCGTTACTTTTTTTATTATTAATAACAAGATTATTTGTACTACCGCGCAAAAGAGAATAAAATATAACTTGTGTACAAAAGACAGGGTTGTTTTTACGCAAGCGAAAACAATTGAGTTCGACGAGCGGGTTCGTAATTCAAACTACCGATTTAACAGAGCAAACATTTCCATATACGAATTCACGTTTAACTTGCTCTAACTTTGGATATTAATTCCCTGGGCGGTCATATTACTGTATCCTTCAGCTCTACATGTCACTCCTATATGTCATACATATATATTCCATGAACCTAATGTATACCTATCCGATTACGTTCGCTCGAAACGTACCAGCAAAAATATATACCCCCCGGAATTATTATACCTCAAAATGGTTTTGCAATATTCATTTTTTAATGGACTATAAATCATCACTGTCTGCATGAAAGTTTTTTTTTCGATTTATAATTTATAATTTACGTATGAAATGTATGTACACAAAAAAAAGGGTTTAGGTTGTTGCGTTTACTGCGTAAAATTTTTTATTAACAGTAACGACTGTTTACTCTATAAAATTTTAATCTATATTATAAAGAGAATAAGCAAAATTTTGTGGCCAGTGTATTTATATGATAAAATGGGTTTTCATAGTTAAATTTGGTATCATTGAGAGGGTCTTGACCTGGAGTTGTGCCTTTTCAATGTTTCATATCATTCTCGCACTAATTGTCAATTTATGATGATAAGTATTTAGGCTGCATTTGAAGATGCTCTATCTCTAGATACATAATTAAGAAATGACCTTGTATCTTGTGAACTATTGACATTTTTAAAGATATAAGCTCATCCTGATGTTAGACTTATCAAGACCTTTCATTTGAGTACCCACATCAATTTTTCATATATTTTATATATTTATATATTTCTCAAATACCATATATATATATAAATATACCAAAATTCATGTGGGTACTTAAATGAAAGCTCTTGATGAGTGTAACATAGGGATAAGCTTATATCTTTAAAAATGTCAATAATTAAGAAATGACCTTGTATCTTGTGAACTATTGACATTTTTAAAGATATAAGCTCATCCCGATGTTACACTCATCAAGACCTTTCATTTGAGTACCTACATCAATTTTTCATATATTTATGTATATATTATATATATATGTATATATGAAAAATATATGAAAATGCATGTGGGTACTCAAAGGAAAGCTCTTGATGAGTGTAACATCAGGATGAGCTTATATCTTTAAAAACATCAATATTTAAGAAAGTACAGTGTAATTTAACAAAAGTCATTGTTTAATAAAGCAAAATTTTATTTATTTCAAGTTCACATAGTGACTGCAAGATTGCTGGTTAAAATAAATTAGAAAAGATTTATACTAAAATTTTATCACTAAAGATAATTATTATTATTATTATTAAATATTTATACATTACCTCAAATTTTTTGGTAAGTCAAAATCAATAGCTTCTAGGTCACTAATTGCAAATTCATACTCTCTTAAAACCATTAAAGCTTCGGCTCTGGCTAGTAAAGCAAGCCCGAGATTTAAATCCTCTTTCGAAGGTTTAATTTTCCCTGTAAATTCAGGTCCATTAAGTATTATCAATAATTAATTGAATCTATATTTTTCTATTGCGCAAATAAAACTGCTCTTTAGTAAATAGAAAATTAAATTATTAAAATTAAATGTACCAGCATAAGGTGCTCTGAGCACTGCCTGACTGAAACACAGCAGCGCTCTCTCATAATCATTCGCATTAATTAATTTACAACCTTCGAGTCGTTTACTGGTCGAAATTTTATCATCCTTGTCCCTAAACAGAGGTTTTACTCTGCTAAGGATTCCCGAGACAATGTGTTTTATTTTTGGGTCATTAAGGACGCAGCGTACCCGCTCGTCATCTTGACTCAATGCGCCAAAGACATTGTCAATCCACGAGTCATGAACACTGTTGCGTATTGACTCGACAAAATCCTTAAAGAAGCCTCGCTTGCCGGAGTAAATCGTTTCCAATGAACAGACTCTTCGGTAAACTTCTATTTCATTAGACTTTTCCATTTTGCACTAAAATAAAAACGTCACATCGGTAATACAACTACAAATTAAATTCTATCTCTGGGATCCGGATTTCAACAACTCGGATAATAATTCTCCCTGTCGATATTCGGATTAAATTACTTGACAGATCATTAAACTATTTTTAGAGTTTTCACATTTTTTAAAATGACAAGTATGAATAATTCATATTTATGGCTTTAATTAACAGCATTACAGTTCTCGATAACTTTCAATCCCAAAATATACCTTTTACATTAATAATTTAATACTTTACAGATTAAACATTTATTTGAACTGAAAAACATTTATGTCATTTTGAAATATATATCCATATTTTGGTTTCAAGCAATTATTTTTCAAATTAATGCATGAAATTTCTGTTGAACATTTAATCCTGTCAATTAGTAGAATATTGCCGTTCTGTCAAGGTGCAATTAAATGAGTATTTACTATATTCAGTAATATTCCAAATATTTGCTTTTACAATTTAAATTAATTTTTTATCAAACTTCAGGTATATTAATTATTATTTTCTTCTGTAAATATTACTCGATCAATTTGATATTATGACATTTAAAGCCTTTTATATAATTACACATAAAGTACAAACTTAATAACTTATTCCAATCACTTAAAAAAAGTTAATTTGATTAATTATAAAATTTTAATCCTAAATTTTTCTATCAATTATTAAAAAATAATTTTTGTAGTTTAAAAATTTTTTTTTCTTACACAATATTTATGAAAATTAAGTTAGCTGACATTTAAAAATTTTTATAATTTTTTTTTATTAAGAAAATTATCATAAAAAAAAATTCCATTTGTAAAAAACTCGAAAAACTTTAAGTGTAATTTTTTAAAAAATATATTTTTGGTCCAATTTAATAAATAAAAAAACTAGAAATATATTTTTATGGTTATTACACCGCAAAACTCGTAATGAGTAAAAATAAAGTAATTGTTTTTTTAATAAGACTAAAAAAAATCAGAAATAACTTTAAACAATAAACCTTTTGATTTTATAGACACCAACTTGGCACAAACTTACTTCTGTTGGTTATTAAATTAACTTTCGTGCAAAATCCGTCAAGAATTTATTTTAAAACCCGAGCTTCGTAATTTTCTCCATATTCCGTGTGAGGAAAAACAATTAAAAAGAAATAAAATGTAAGATAATCGGCATACAACCTTTGTGATGCATAAGCCGGGTTAATACTAACTGCTAAATACGGATAGAAGCTCCAGAGCCAAAGCGTCGTTCTAACATAAGTACCTATTTTCATCCGAGTTATTTTTGTTTACTACGAGCTGTAACGAACCTTTGCGGGGCTTTAACTAAAACGCTGAGCCGTTAATGGAAAAAAATTCTAAAGTTTATCTCAATTGTTACAATCTTTTAGTTGAACAATAATTCATTGTACTGCTAAATTTTCCCGAGCGACTTTAATACCTGAAAAGAATCAAAGTAAACAAAGTATTTCTCGACTTTATATAGACTCTAAATGTTGAAACGATATAATTGTGGATTAAAGGATTTGTAGAAGTTATTCCAAGGATTAAGAATTTAAATTGTATACTATGTGTTAGTTTTTTTTTATTTTTATATATAAGGACTAAATTTACCCAGAAAAATTTCAAATTGTTGCGCGGTGTGACTAACGAGAATACGTGATACTATCGACCATTACTAGGTGCTCGATTTAAGATTAATCGCCCGTTAAATTTCCGCAGGCAAGATTAATTTGTCAATTATTATATAGTACGAATTTAAAGCCATTTAATCATAGAGAAGATTATTTTTTCTTCAATTTTTAATAGAAATATTGCCTCCTTTTTATTTAGCTCTGATGACGATTTTTATTACTGAAGAAACGTGGCGAATCGTCAAACTCGTGCGATTTATGTTTTTTTTTTTATTATGATATCGAGATGAAAGGATGAAATAAATGAAATTCTTGAACGTTTACTCTATTCGAATTTCCTTTGAAGTTGAATGGCTTTTTCAAAGCGTATAGAAAAATGAAATTGTTAAAAATAATAAAATATTTATATAACAAAATTGAATTTTACAAAAATAACAAATTAAATTAGCAAAAAATCTCTATTTTTTATCTTTGATGATTATATTCAAGTATGTTGATATTAATTACATACATTAATTCTGATGTAATCCTCCAGCAATTTAAATAATTATAACTACGGATTTATCGAGTGATCGTAATAATTTTAAAATGTTATTCTGGATTACAAAATTTAAATCTGCTTTCGGATACTAATTTTATCAAAGAACATAAAAGTATCACTGAGAGAAAATTTTATTTAATATTAATAAAAAAGTTTATTTGGACTTGAAAAGAAAACTTAGTTAATAGAAATAAAATTATATTCCCTATGAATAAAATTTTATTAGTATTTAATAAAAATTTTATTACTATTGAATAAAATTTTCTCTCAGTTACATCTAATGTTTATCGACTTGATCAACAAGTTTATCGTCGCAAGGCCTGTAGACATTACAGCATGCCGTACATAATTTTTTTTCTACTTAATACGCATTCACCCGTTAAGTTTTATCAGCAATGTTGAGATAGAAAGTGTAGGTTACTTATTTATGGAGTTGAGTAGAAAATAAAAAAAAAAAAAAAATACTAGACTAAAATTTTTACTGGAAAGTCTTCTATAAAATGTCTTTTTGAAGTTCCTTTTTGTTTAAATCCATAAAGATTTCACTACTCTAAGTACACTTATTAGTAAAATACAACAAATCTTTGATGTTCCTTTTTCAGAAAAAGATTACTTTGTTTCCACTAAAATAAAATATAAATAAAAATCCTTTTCTTTAAAAATATTCGAATAAAATATTATTCTTGATATTTTTTTAATTAAAAACGAATTTATATCTAAAAAATTATTCTGCTTTTTCACATAAATTTTCCTTGTGTGACTTTGTAGATTAATTTAATAAGAAATTAATTATTCAATATGCTGCTATTTAAATACGCTTAGGCATTCTTATTAGAAATATGTAGATTTATCATTAAAAGATCAAATTTACTTACAAACGACAAATTAGTCTTTAAAATTAATGCCATTATTTTGTATTAATTGTTAATTATAATCTGGGTTATGAATAAAAAAATGTACCAGCCATTGGACTGTTGAATTTTAACAGCGAATTAAATAATAAATCTAGTGACAACTGGACACACATGACAAATCCGAATGAGTTTAATAAAGCGCTCTCCATGAAATATAATTAACGGGAGCAATAACACGACAATGAAACTTTTTAGACGAGTTGACGATCAAATTTGTACCTGTACCTATTATTATCACAACTGCGGTGTTTCACTCTATGCAGACTAATAACTTTAGCTGTATATTTATACACAATTTGAAATATGCGGTTTAATTTAAAAATTTATTTTAAAGACAGATTTTAAAAATTGCTTTTAATATTTAAATAAAATTTTTTTCATGCGACGAATTTAATGCAAAAATTTTAAGAATGTCTGCGTCAATTTTATATTTTTACTGAAATTTCCATAAAATTACGCTCGAATTGTACGAACATTTTATGCAAAATTAATTATGCAGATGACACTGACAAAAAAAAAGCAGTAATGATTAGTAAATTTACAAACTTTTTATATTAAATTATTGATTAATTTTTTATCTTACAATAGGAAATTAATTTCAGATTTGTCGGTAAAAAAAAGAACGTCTCACTAAATACACCAGTTTTTTATTTTATCCTTCGTTTAAAATTTTCAATGAATTTCCCTCAGTAAATTATAATCCACAAAATACATTATATTTACAGAATAAGACCTAAAAAATTATAAATAATTCACTAGAGATAGTAATGATAATTCTAAGAATACATATTCTCTCCGTGAATAGTGCAAAAAATTCAAAGCAGCCTTTTAATATTTTAATGAAGTGAACTCGGTTTGATTCGCTATCACAAGCATGTAAAAGCTGTCTAACAAAAGGAAGAATGACACACTGGCGTGCGAGAACAACTTACATTTATTCAACTAATCTGTCTGGGTTTATTTTGCGCGCGAACTGCAACGATCGATCCTCGCCTCCCATTGGCGGTCTGTGCACACCGAGTCGAGCGGTAAAGCTCCAACCTGAGCCTCGAGCTTTCCAGTTTTTCTTGCGATCTCGTACCATTCACATCGCACCAGCCAGTCTGGTACTACGACAACCACTTAATTGTTGTCATCTGTTATCACTCTGTTTCCGTATCCTTCCGATCTTGTTATCGTAATTAAATTAAATTCATCGAATTAATTTATTCCAATCACTTAATTGCTATTCTGGGCGTCAGTGTTCGATAATTGCAATAATTTCTGGTAAACAATCAATTTATCAAATCACAAAAGTAATTTCATTACTCCAAATTTAATTTTATACTAAATGGTTAATAAATTTAATTACCAGTTCGTTGTTTCTAACTCGTTTTATTTATCTATGTCAACTTTGATTGATTTCGGAAGTAACGTTGTGAATAGTCGCAAAATAAAAAATACTCCACGGGTTGACATTTTCAATAGACTGGAGATAGATCCGCTGGAATTGACCGGGAATGTTTACAAACATCGGTTCCCACATGACTTTGATGTCGACGCTGTGTTCAAAATAACCTGACCCGTCAGCTGCTCTTACTTTGACAATTTTTATTTTATTAACAAATATTAGAAATATCTTTTTAATTTTTTATTTCATTTAATCAATTTCTTCTTATTAATTAATTTTTCCCAGTAATTTTTTCATTTTTTTTTTAAGACCTGACAGTAACTTCTTAATTACCACTAAGAGTTTTAATGATAAAATTAAATTTTTCGCTTTTTGAGTGACACTTTAATTCAATTTAATTTTTCAACTTATTTCGGCCTTAAAATAATTAATTTGGATACATAAATTTCGGATGGCTTCAACTGGAGTGACAGTGAGAGAAAATGGATATAATAGATGACCGATGTAGTGAT